AGATTTAGTATCAAATGACGAGTTATTAAGTGCTTATAATCCGAGTGAACAGACCTTATCATCACATGAGTTGAACACCGGATTCATGTCTGAATCCAACGAACAGATCAACACATCTCTGGAACAACTGGAGGATCAGTTGATGCAACAGTTGATCTCATCGGCTGAAGAGGACGATAGAAATGTGTCGCTTATTAAAGATAATTCTTATGCAACTGAACCGGAGCTCAATGTCGAAGAACTGACGGCTCCCTTACTTCTGCAGCGTTTGCAGCAATCAGTGGTCACTCCTATTGAATCCAATGAAGAGCCAATTGAAACACATCCAGAATTGACTGAATTTGAATCTCAAAACACTGCGAATAATGAGTTTATTTCAGTCGATGACAAGCCATTGATTGAAAAGTCGGACACAATTATTGTGGATCTGTTATCATCATCACCGCAGAGGAATAATTCGCTCATTGATAATATCGTTGAGGCAAATCAATTGCACTCAAATAATTTCAATGACATTAATATTCAACTAAATGAGCGGCAAATTCTCGAAACGATAGAATCTCAACAGAATTTAAATCAAGAATCCATTCAAACAAACGAAAGCAAAGAATTTGAGTCAATCCAAGAGAAGAGACCCGATGTCGATGTGATTGATATCCAGGAATCAGACGTTCAGACATATGTTGTGCCGCCGACGCCGTCCGAAGAGATTACGCCTGAGCTGTCATTTTTCCGGACACCGGAACAGCCGGTGCTCACAAAGATATACTCATCGGAATCGGAACAGGAGAGCGACTCCGCTGTCATTAACAAAGCCATTGATAGCAGTCTTCCGTCACTCATAACTGTCATTGAGTCGACCGCTAAGAATGGAGGCGAAGAGAAGCCTAAACGACCCAAACCTATACTCAAGGAAACGGATCCTCAGATTCTCACCAAATTGATCGCCGATGAGGTAATTAGATATCAATTCATTTGTCTATACATTAAATGTAAAATTATTTTCAAATCTAAGCAACAAATCACTTCGGAGGAGATATCGAGTCCAGACGATGATAACCCAGAGTTTGTTGGCTTAGGGCCCAACACACCCATACCGGTGCGAGCTTCCAGTCCCAACCCATTCGGCAAAAAGAGACGGAGGGGCAAAAAGGGTGGACATCGAAAGTGAAACTACTGTTACTTTATCTCGGAGTAAACCTATTTACATGAATCACATATTTTATCACAAAGTATTTAAAGTTTTAAACAAATATTATATAATATTTCTGTTCATTTTTGAGACTGAATTCTTTATGGCAAACATTTATATAAATAGTAAGTCATATGAATATAGAATAAAATTCATTATGTAAAATCACTTGGCTAAAATTTAAAATTTTAAATAAATTTTATTCATAAACATCGCTAAAGCTACGAAATATTATTTAATTAAATTTTACAACTACTTGCAAAACTTGGTTTCATTTAATGTGGAAAGAGTTTCCCATATTTTATAGTTTTCATCGTTTGGGAACAAGAATTTCGGCAAATTTTGATTATTAATTAAAATTATTAAATTTAATTTAATTGTAACGACATTTTTATGATTTAATGTTAGTATACCTGGTTATAAAATGGGCATAATTTTAACGCATTTTTGTTTACCCTGGTTATGGGAACAATTCTTATTAGATTTAACATAAAAATGTGTTAAAATAAAGCCATTTTGACCTGAATTAGATAAATAATAAAAACAATTTTTGTGAAAAACTTCAAACCTGGTACAAATGTTATGCAAACTTAGATTTGCTAATGGCCCAAATATAGCAGACAAGTGACCAGTATCACTAATTGAGTGTTATCATTTTATAACCAGGTATACTATCTTTAAATCATAAAAGTGTCGCTACAATTAAATTAAATTTAATAATTTTAATTAATAATCAAAATTTGTCGAAATTCTTGTTCCCAGACAATATTTAATTAATAATGGCTCCCATAACTACTGATAAATTATATAAACTAATTATAACATTAGTTATATTGAATTTAAATTTAACATGGGTTTTGACCACAAGTGGTAATAGCATTAATAATGAATTATTGAATGCATTGTTAACCAGACCGGGAAGTGTGCTCATAGTAAAAAGGAAAGTGCCAGATGTAAATGTCACTGGTAATAACTCAATGGAATCCAGGGCTATCAGATTTGATGGTGAAATGGTCTGTTTTATATTACATATTAATTATATTAAATTAGTTTATAGTATTTAAACTGTTTTAAAGTAACTATTTCTAAATTCGTATCTCATTTATACTATTATTTAACAACAGATCCATAGATATACAGAAGTGGATAAAAAATTTGTGACAGACATTAATTCGCCGCAACATTATTTAAATACCCCTGAACACATCCCGGCCAATGTGACAGGTGCTTTCACCGGTCCCGACAAGGATATCTACTTTTTTAAGGGTAATAAGTTTTGTAAACGACGTCTCAATGTCCCGCAAAACTTCTCAAATGAAGGGGTAATTCACTACTACTTTATAAAACAGTATTTTTTGGAATATTTAAAATACTAACCTTGTTTAAAAAATCAATTCGGTTATTGTTTTGTTAAGTGTATTAAATGGTATGAAAATCAAGATCTGTTTGGCTGTAGATTTGACGCCGCGATTGTCGGGAAAGACATTTGTGTGAACGGGATGGTCGACGGCGTGGCCTCAAACAAATTGGACGCTTCCGGCCGTCAAAAGTTTATATTCAAGGGAACCACTCGTTGGCTGTTGACTATTGCGGACGACTTTATTACCGGTAATTTAGCGTTTGATGAGTGGTCGACGGCGTGGCCTCAAACAAATTGGACGTTTCCGGCCGTCAAAAGTTTATATTCAAGGGAACCACTCGTTGGCTGTTGACTATTGCGGACGACTTTATTACCGGTAATTTAGCGTTTGATGAGGCATATGCTCTTAAGAGGGCTAATACCACCACCACTGCTGCCAGTCCCACAGTTGCGGCAGCTTTTACCAGTTCCAGCACTATTATCTCAAGTACCATTGCCACTAGTGCCAGTATAAATAGTGCCACTACCCCTCCAGTACCAGATCAGACAACTCGATATATAAGACTACCCCTAATTTAAGTTCATTTTATTGTGTATTTTGTTTTTAATATTTTTAATATTTCAGAGACATTTTGTTAAATTCTTGAATTATTTGTTTCAATCATACCTCCAAATTAGAAAATTGTCATTTGTAATTACTAATGTATTTACTTATATTACTAATTTATTAAATTAGATTTTGAAATAAATAATTATGGTATATTAATTTTGTACTTAAGCTTATTATAAACTAAATTATGAAATGTTTCTCAAATAAACTTCATATAACATAGTACTGTAATTAAAAATATGTTACAAATGAACTGAACATGTAATTGACTTATTATCCATTATTCCGAGAGCGAGGGGTTGGATATATTTCATTAGGTCTGCGCCCGGACTTTGATTTTTTCGTAGTTTTTACGGCACTTTCTTCCACATTATCGTCGTCTGAATCACTTTTATCTATTAAACCACTAATCAAACTTATTTCAGTTGTCTCGACGTAGACTTCTTCAGTCACTCGACCGCTTCCACTGTCGTCGTCATCCTTTTGGTTATAATTTTGTGATTCACTTCTACTTCCGTCACAATTGAATAATGTTTTCGCGTCCTTCCACTCCTTACACTACAATTTGAATTGATATACAATTTATGATGAATATAATGATTTTTATATATCAAACCAATTATAATGAACTGACACAACTATCCTTGGTGTCCTTACAGCTCCAGTTCCTTTGACAGAATTGGTCTTTTCTGAACAGGTATACCGTATTGTCAGCCATCCTGAAGGCCGCCGTAATATCTTTAGGCCAGTGTTCAGCCGTATCGTCAACTTGTAAGCTATTTCTAGGGTCTAAAAGGGTCCCTTCACTTGAGTACGTGTGCACCTGAATGTCATATCAATTAAAATAATGCTAATCTTTATTAAATTGTTATACTTTTGAGCCCTCAAATCCAAGAACCAAT